TTCCCTGTTTCGAAAACGGAAGAAAAAGGATTGGACACATCCGTTAACAGTCTTGATGTTAAGCATGTGATGAAGGTTAGCCTGGATGATGACAGGCATGATTACTACACTATTGGGACTTATCATGAGAAGAATGTCACATTTATTCCCGATGATACTGAGCTTGATGTTGGCATTGGACTAAGGTATGATTATGGTGTATATTATGCTGCCAAGACTTTCTATGATCAGAACAAAAACAGAAGAGTTTTGTGGGGCTGGATCGGTGAATCCGATAGTGAAGCCGCCGATGTGCAGAAAGGATGGGCATCTGTTCAGGTAAAAAAATTTCTGTTTCATTGGACCATAGAGGCATAGACTCCGTAAAGCATTCAGATTTCTTCAGTTTCTAATGTGCTATTTCACTATACTCACAGAGCATCCCAAGGACAATTTTGTTAGACAAGAAGACCGGTACTCATTTGCTTCAATGGCCAGTGGAAGAAATAGAGAGTTTAAGGTTAAACAGCTACGAATTTAACCAGGTGACAGTCCAGGCAGGATCAGTTGTTCCTCTTGACATCGGCGCAGCCACTCAGGTTCCTATTTTTCTCACGTTTTCATGTGTATCACGATACTTCATCGACCAAGATCCTGTTAATCGACAAGATTCTGTCATGTGACAGTTGGATATCATAGCAGAGTTCGAGATCGATAAAGAAGCTTTAGAAAAAGCAACTGGGTCCAATTTAACATTCAGCTGCAGCAGCAGTGGTGGAGCTGTACAGCGTGGGGCATTGGGACCATTTGGTCTGTTGGTGCTTGCCGATGACAGCCTCAGCGAGCAGACACCTGTGTATTTCTACATCGCCAAAGGATCCGACGGCAGCCTCAAGACGTTCTTCTGCAACGACCAATCTCGGTCGGTACATATATAAACCCAAAGCCTTTCTTAATGTAACACGAGCCATCGACTCACCTATTATCACATTGTATTTGATATTTCAGATCATCTGAGGCATCGGATGTTAATAAAGAAATCTACGGGAGCATGGTTCACGTACTAGAAGGCGAAAACTTATCCCTCAGAGTATTGGTGAGTAAAAAGGTACTTGTTTCATGGTACAATGGCATTATTATGAGAACAAATGGACATGAAAACGGTAATGTTTTTTCGCAGGTGGATCATTCGATTATCGAAAGCTTTGCTCAAGGCGGAAGGACAGTGATCACATCTCGGGTTTATCCGACGAAGGCGATTTATGGAGCTGCAAAACTGTTCCTGTTCAACAATGCTACTGAAGCGGGTGTTAGTGCGTCACTTAAGATTTGGCCAATGAACTCTGCATTCATTAGGCCATATCCAAATCTCGAGAACAACTCCCAATAGAACCGATGAGAAATGCAAAGCTCGCCATTGTTTCTTCTTCTATCCTTCAAAGGCAAAATGAAGTATCTTGTATTTGTAATGCATCTCTCTTTTCCATTTTTTTGTGAGGCTAATAAAATAATTTATTAGAAATTGAAGAGTTTACTTGATTCTGGCGACTAACCCATTGCACGGTCGAGCAACTAAAGATTTATTGGTTTAAAAACTAAATTATGTATTAAACCTTGCTATTTCTTTATTTTTAATTATTAAACCTTGCTATTTCTTTATTTTTAATCTTTAAAATCATGATAAGAATTTATCCAGTGATCTAGAGGTTAAGAGAAATAATGTTCTCCTTAAAAGTCTTGAGTTCGAGTAGTTACGTTTACAAGTAGGGATGGTCATGGGACGGGTTTTTGGTCCACCCGACCTGAGAACAATGAATCCTCCACTCGAGACCTGACCAAAACAAAATTTCACCGACCTGATATATAACTTAAAAATCCGACCCAACCCGAAATAATAATAAAAAAAATATTACTTTTATTCAATAAAAGCAGTGACTTAATTGAAAAAAAAATATAGAGAGAGGGTATTATTATAATTATTCATAAATATATAAGGAAAAATTATATTTTTTTGGGTCAGGTCTGGTTGGATATTTTTCACCCTAAACCCGACCCGGCCCGGCCCAAACATCAATTTTAAAAAAACTCGACCCTAATTCAAATTTTTAAAAAAACTCGACCCGATCGAGTCGGATCGATTCGAAACCCGTCGAGTTCGGGTCTCATACACATCCATATTTACAAGATATGTGTGTGTTGTCAATAATAATCACCCAAACCATTTTAAAAAAAATCGTAGTCATAAAATATAAATTATAAAAGTAAACAACGAAATTACATGAGACCGAATAAAATTAAAGACACAAATATTACAATTATATCCAAATTTTGATTTGATGCATATGTATCAACTTTGATTTTATGTAATTTTAAATCTGAGATTTTGTTTTATCTAATTTTCATAAATTATTAACACTATTATCAACGGAACATTATTATTGTGTGTGAACAATATTGGATTCGATTTGATAAATAAAAAATATTCAAAACAAATTGGTCAAGTCAAATCAACTCAAATTAATGTTCAATTTTTCAAATGTGAATAAATTGAAATTCTCAAATTCAAACAATTCTATTAAACCAATTAATAAAACAATGTATTCATTATTAAATTTTATTTTATTCTTTTACTTTTCATTAAATGAAATGACACCCATATTTTAACTTTATTTTTTTACGCTTAGCTTTAATTAAAATTCTTCCACTCTTGTAAAATGGAGGCAAAATTCAAATCCCATTTCTAATTAATCAACCCCTAATTTTATGATGACATCGACAAGTATTGTGGGTTCATAAAATATGTATAATTTTCTTTAGAGTTCATCTATACAAGCATTTAAAAAAATTAATTTGAAAAATATTTTGATTAAATTTAAATTTAATTTAATTTGAAAATGTATTAAATTAAGATCAAGAAACATGATTCATCAATTTAATTAATTAAAAAATTCACTCAGTTCTATTAAATATCTACCCTTAATTCTTAGATTTATATTTTAAATTTTTAAATAATATAAATAGATCTTTATCTTTATTTAAATTAATCCAAATTTAACTTATGGTGTTTTTATTTTCCTCGCCCTTAAATTATGTTCAACATAAAATAAAAAACAAAGAGTAGCTTTCAACGTTAAAAACGTAGTGGATGGTCCATAAAGAAGGAAAAAGGAAAATGAATAAAATAAAAACAATGGTGGAGCCAATCGCTGCTGGAATTATGGAACCGTTACCCCTTTTTTCAGTATTATTAGTTGAAAAAAGTCAAATTAAAATGATAATATAGTGTTAGGTACAATATAAGAAGTTTTTGTCTCTTTGAAATATGTATTATAACATTATGAGGTATACGTATTTTTTACCCATATTTATTTGTTTATTTACAAGTACGGGCGAGCGTATAATTTTATGTTAGGTGTAAACTTATAAAATTTTAAAGAATAACGAAATTATAAAATTTTAAACGACAAAAACAATTATTAATAAAAAATATAAAAAAAATTAAAATATAATAGAATTTGAAAATTCCACATGTCATTGTCCACTACGTTCTAGGCCTCCAAAGCACAAGAAACACACAATGTAAAGGAATAAATTTTATTTATTATGTAAAGGATATAGATAACATATATTTTATAAAAAAATAATTAGAATTTAAATAATATATTTTAAAAACTTAATTAAACATTAAAAAAATGGAAAATTTAAATTAGACCCTTTCGAACTAAATCGTCACTGTGTTAACCAATTCTAGTTCAAGTATGTACTTGAAGTTTTAACTCATGAATAAAAGCTGGCCTTTGCTATTTTATTTTTTCCTTCCAAGAAACAAACAATTTCATTTAAAAAAAAAGTATTTATTTCAAAAGGAAGTTTGCCTTTATTTGTCTTAAAAATTTGGTTTTCCTCCATTTTAATAATACCTTAGTTTATGCTGTTAGATACTTAGATTAGATTTTGGGACAAAGGGTTTGGTAACCTAAACATTTTCCACTCACTAATTCAACTATGTCATTAACATAGGCAAATTGTCCATAAGTATATGGCAAATCTTATTTGGATTTCACTAAACCTAGCTTAATCATACTCCTTCATAAAACAAAACAAAAAGGTTCATCCAATTGGTTTTGAAAGTGAAAGATTACTTTTATTAATACGATGGGATTATAATGTAGTATCTAGACGTAAGATTTTTTTAATTATTGACATTATATCCACTCTGCATATGTAAATGTTTGAACCTGTGAAACTTTTAAGAGAACAACACTCTCTTTTATCATTAGTACCGTTCAATGGGATAAAAAAATAAGGCAAAAGGGTAACTTTTGTCCCTATAGTAAACCCAATTTATCATCTTAGTCTCTATCGTATTTTCGCATCAATTTAGCTCTCAAAGTTGTTCAATTGCATCATTCTATACCTTATCCCTCACTTAAAATCCTAAATTGGGGGTTTTAAGTTAGGGTTCATATGTTATCAATTTAGAGTATTAAGTTAGAGGTAGGGTATAGAATGATGTAATTAAACAACTTTAAGGTTAAATTGAAGCGAAAAATACGATAGAGACGAAAATGATAAATTAATTATATTACATGGACAAAAATAACGCTTAAGTCAAAAAATAATAGAAAAAATAAATAAAATGTCAAACAACAACAGTAAACTCTCCTATGAACAAGTCCTCTTCATAGTATTTGGCATCTCGAGGTCGGTAAATGTTAAATTGTACAAGAGCATTCCGCAGTCCCCCATTGTCAGTTGGTTGCTCGTTAATGGAAAATTTACCAAAAGAACTTGGAGCAATGCATGGAATTAAAATAGAAACATAATCATATTAGTGGGTTTATTAGTGAGGAAGAAGGTAGCTTAGCCGCTACTGCAATTTATAACAAAAGAGAAGAAAAACAAGGGTCATTGATATCACGGCAGGGGTCCACAGGCGAAATCATGTGCCGGCAATCATGTCGCTCTTTCATGGGATCCGATTCCAACGTCTCAATTTCTTCTTCTCCCATCCAACCAAAATCCACATCCGTCAACATGTCTTTTACAGAAATCTGTGGTGTTAAAACATGATGTATGGCACGGACAAAACCCTCTCATACTGCCACTTATGCGTATTTGTGAACTGGCGACTGCCTGTCACCCTCTCTTTCTCTCTCCATATGCTTAAAGTTCTTTCTTTTCTCTCTCTATCTTCATCTTATGAATGATGACTGGTAATGGGTGACCGACAAAATGCTTTGGCCTTTGAGTATTCATCATTCGCCTCCATTTTTCTTATCCTACTAAACAAACCCAACTCACAAAGCTACATTTTTTATACCCTTTTCTATCTTTAGAGCCTCTGCACCTGGTTTCTTATTCTCTGTCTTTTGCCTACCGGATAATGTAAAACCAGTCAAGTTTTAGCTAAGTTCCCTCTAAAAAACTTTTTTTCTTGAAAGATGGCCTTGAATAAGTTCTTGAGTCTGTTTCTTATCAATATTGTTCTGCTCTTGAGCTCGTGTTTTGCTGAAGATCCCTTTGTTTTCTATGATTTTGAGGTCTCTTACATCACTGCTTCTCCTTTGGGTGTTCCTCAAGAGGTCTGCTCGTGTTTTGCCATTATCTACTTTATCTTACTATATTTTCTTCATGTGGTTCTCTAGCTCCTTTTTACTTGCTCAGTTCAGTGAGATTTGGTGTTGTTGTTGAACTGTTTAAGTTCTATAATGGTTTCTGTATATGCATTGCTTTGTAGGTTATTGCTATTAATAAAAAGTTCCCTGGCCCTACTATCAATTCAACTACTAACAACAACGTCGTCGTCAATGTTAGAAACAAATTGGACGAGAGTTTACTCATGCATTGGTGAGATCTTAGTTTGCAATAATCTTTGTTAAGTGAAACCAATAGATAGTGTGACTGACTGCTTGGTTTTATAGGTCTGGGATTCAACAGAGGCGTAGTTCATGGCAAGATGGGCTACCGGGGACTAATTGTCCTATTCCTCCCAAGTGGAACTGGACTTACCAGTTTCAAGTTAAGGACCAAATTGGGAGTTTCTTCTACTTCCCATCACTGCATTTCCAACGAGCGGCTGGTGGTTTTGGCGGCTTTATCATAAACAACCGTGATATTATTCCTATTCCTTTTGATGCCCCTGACGGGGACATTACGATTTTAATAGGTGATTGGTACACACGTAACCATACGGTTAGTACTTTGTTGAGTTACTGGATTTTATAGTTATGTTTTACTTTTCAGTGTGTTCTATGATGAAACTTTGTTTTGTTTTAGGCATTGAGGAAGGCACTTGATGCTGGAAAAGATCTAGGGATGCCAGACGGAGTTCTTATCAACGGCAAAGGCCCTTACCGATATAATGATACTCTTGTACCTGATAGCATCGTTTATGAAACGATTAACGTCCACCCAGGTGATTATTTATGAAATGCAACTACTTAACTTCAATTTCACAGCAGAGTTCAGCATGCAGCCTTCTGTCTGTGTTGGGAGTATTCAGTTAGTCATGTTCTAAACTGGACTGGCAGTTAGATTCATGCATATAACTAACTTAATATGTTGTTTACCTTTATGTTTATGCTGTGTTTTTCAAGATCCTAAATGATAACATTATATGCTGGGCAGGGAAAACTTACCGCCTTCGTGTGCACAATGTGGGAATATCAACCACGTTGAATTTCAGAATTCAGAGCCATAATTTGCTTATCGCGGAAACTGAGGGGTCGTATACGGTGCAGCAGAACTACACTAGCTTAGACATACACGTCGGACAGTCTTACTCTTTCCTGCTAACTACAGATCAGAATGCAAGTAGTGATTACTACATTGTAGCTAGTGCACGGTTCGTGAATGAATCACAGTGGAAACGAGTTACCGGTGTCGCTATTTTACGTTATTCAAATTCCAAAGGAAAGGCAGCTGGTCCTCTCCCTGATCCACCGCAAGATGAATTCGACAAAACCTTTTCAATGAACCAAGCGAGATCTATCAGGTTAATTTTCGTTGTGGTTCAAGTGCTCAAGCACATTTCTCCCATGCATGATGGTGATACTCATTGAGACTTCAAACAACGTATTAGTCAAAAACATGTGTAGTATTGATCTTCGGGTTATCGGTTATCTTCAAAATTTCGAAATACATTAGCTGGTTACGTCTTCTTACTTTCTGTGCTTAAATTCTGCAGGTGGAATGTATCTGCTAGTGGTGCTCGCCCTAACCCACAGGGATCCTTTAGATATGGTTCAATCAATGTGACCGACATTTTTGTGTTGAGAAACAAGCCACCTGTGACTATTGGTGGAAAACGACGAACAACGCTCAGTGGGATATCGTTTGCCAATCCTGCTACACCGATCCGGCTTTCTGATCAGTTCAAGCTTAAGGGAGTATATAAGCTTGATTTTCCTAAAAGACCACTTACAGGTCCACCTAAAATGGAGACATCGGTAATCAATGGAACGTATAGGGGATTTATGGAAGTGATCCTACAGAACAATGACACCAAGGTGCAGACATATCACTTGAGCGGATATGCATTTTTTGTTGTCGGGTAGGAATTCGTTTCCTTTAGGAATTGTCATCTATAAACATATTGGTTTGTACTATGATTTTGACACCAACTCTTCAATTATCTTGTTGCAGAATGGATTATGGTGAGTGGTCTGAAAATAGCAGAGGCACATATAACAAGTGGGATGGCATTGCCCGCTCCACAACACAGGTAGGTCTTTGGAACATGCTTTCAGTTTAATTGAATTGAATTGAAGTTTTCTAGTAAAACGCATGCTGGATTTTTTTAATGAAACTCACAAAAAATGTGACTTCTCTGTCTTGTAGGTTTATCCTGGTGCATGGACAGCAATCTTGATATCACTCGACAACGTTGGAGTCTGGAACCTTAGAACAGAAAACCTCGACTCGTGGTATCTTGGCCAAGAAACATATATCAGGGTCATGAATCCGGAGAAAACGAACAAAACCGAATTCCCTATGCCAGACAACGTCCTCTATTGTGGCGCCCTAAGCAAAATGCAGAAGTATGCATATGTGAAAGATTTTCTTCAAAAGTTGGCTTTAAAAACTGATAATGTCTAGTTTCTAATGCTACTTGGTTTCTTTTCCAGGCCACAGGATATCTCTTTCGCAACATCAATCACAGGCAGTAGATCAAAACTGTTTGTCACGGTGCTGATGCTTGCCTCTGTACTTCTCCTTTTCCGCTAGTTGTTCTCTTTCAGGGTGTCGGTTCTTGTCATATCCTAGTTTGTCACGAAAGGTTTGGGTCTGTGTGTTAATTTCAGGTGTGTAAGTAGTCTTGTTGATATGAATCTTGGGTGATTTTGACATGTATTTTGTTCTGTTCTTGTTTAATTTATGAGGGACATCATTCTTTCAATACCTATAATTTATGTACTGCTGACAATTCATCAAAATTTCAATACAACTTAACCTCTAAGCTTTGAATAAGTTCTACACACATGAATATACATGTACGTACGTGAGTGTACAGATACGTATGTATATGTTTATGCCCAGGTGGGTTCGCATTGCACAATTGATGGCCTTCACTGATATGGTTGGTGGTTGTAGTAATGGTGAAAGCGTTGTTCATCAATACAGCCATTTCATTCAAGGTTTTTCATGCAGGTCAACAATGGCATTTCATCGCATTGCACAGTTGTGAGTAATTATTACTTTTCGGCCTTATGGGGCAAGAATGGTAACATCTGACTCAACATATGTGACACAAACAAAGCAGAGAAGGTAAAAGATAGGTGGTGCTGGTCCCATTTTCTAGGCCCATCTTTGGTAGCAGAAAACATGTAGCTGTCAATCATGCTAGAAAAGCAGCTGGATTGCCATTTGCCCTTGTGTAAATTTGAGTGGCCCAGTGTTCTGTTAAAATTGAAGCATACCCTTTATTTTCCCCTAGCTTTTTATTGGGTGATTATGCCTGCCCAGTTGAAGACTTGGAAGTGCGAAACGTTAAGCAGATTACAATGGTCATTTACTCTGTCAGGGTCACTGTCCTAGGCGAGTCAGTCTTTTACCTGATTGATTTGGGAATCGGAAAGATCCCTATAACCAAGATGAGACTCTTTAATTCACGCATTTCATTTCTGCCTTTTGTATGACAAGTGGGAAGATGGTCGAAAACCAAAAATGGCTCTTTTAGATTGTGGCTTTGCTCAGTTTGGAGTGCATTTATCCATGTTTAAGACTGTGTGGGGAACTACTCTTGCTCTTCCTCATAAGCTGCACTGTTTCCACTTTACAACTCAGACTTGACTCATTAAAGCAAGAATTGCAGTCAGTTTTCAGAGGCATAAGTAGTGGAATCTGGGTCGATTTTCTTCATTGGATCACAGCTTCTAATGCTGGAACAACCCCGTTTTTGTCAATCGCTGTTCATGGATAAAAAGTTTTCTATTTATGCTATAAATCAAAATGCAACCTCAACCAAAAAAAATTCCCTTTTATGGTTGTGTCCCTCTCTGCATTTTGCAATTTTGGATTTTCAATTTCAGTTTGTTGACGAAGCCAAGTATCAGAACGTAGAAGATTTTGATTGACATAACATCGCACTTGGCTGGGCCTAGATGGATGTTCAAGCTTAAATCACCAGGGCCTAATTCAGCCAATTTAATTCACTGGGACTTGAGATTTGCTAATACACCTCCAAAATTGCTTTTATACAATTCTTATAAATTTTATAATACTTTACAACTTTTTTACATTTTTACATTTTATATTTATTTACTTTTATAAATTTTATAATATTTTTTTAAAATCACATTTTAAAAGTATTTTTTATAATTTTGTAAATATCTTTTATTTTTGAGTTTTTGTTTTTTGTTTTTTTTAAATAAGGTTTAAATAACAGGATTCAGTAATAGAAAAAATAAAATACTAGCATCAATGATATCAGTATGATAGTTATACGATATTTTGTTGTTGGTTTTGGTTAATTTGATAGAAAAATATAAATTCAATGGTTAAAAAGATATGAAAAAATTGAAGGCCTAAATGATAAAAGTTACAAAGTTTAAGGGGCCAAAAGTTCATTATGCCAAAAAATAGACATAAAAATGGATAAAGTACAAGGTCTGCCGCCGAGGACTGTAGAGGTCTTGGGATTGGGAAACCTAAAATTTAGCGCACTGGTAACGATGCTACACATGGAGTTCTTGCTTTCAAATATGGTCAATTATGTTATTTTAGTCTGCAAACAACATTTTTAATAAACCCTAAATTATTTAGCCACACCTGGATCAATGTGCGCATGAGCTGCTGGCTATGGCTTCTTTTACCAGAAGTGAACAGAATTAGAGACGAAGCCATGAACTAAAGCCCTAAAGCTTTGTTCTTCATGATAAAACTGGAGCACGCCCAATGATATTGTCTCTCTGAAAATTATTTTTCATTGCTTTAAAGTGATACATTGTCATGCTTGGCTTCAACCCAAGTAAAAAGGATGTTCTCTCAGTCAGCAACAACCAATGAACAATACTACTTTTCTTGCCTCTTAAATCATCCATTTTTACTCAAAACCTCAACTTTGGTTTCCTTCCTCCACGTATTTAAACATCACCTTGTCTACTGCCGCCATCCCTCTCCCTGGCTATTCTTTGAACAAAGATAGTTTCTTCAAGTTCAGCTCCCATGTCAGCTTATCGTCAAGGCCTGGGGCTGGGCACTGCGGTTTATTCTTCACATTTTTCATGTCAAATAAGGGAGTGCTGTAGGTTTCAGTTTCAGATATATATAAGTTTCCCTGTTTCTCGTAGTTTTGCCATAAGGGTCTAACAAGTTTGCCAACCTGAAGGAGATGGAGTCTAGCTGAATATCTGAATCCGTCCTGTTGAACAGGTTCGTAGCTAAACCAAAGGTAATTGTTCTGGGAACAAGTGGTAAATACTAGAAATTTAGCATCTAAATTCTGTGTCCCAAACTTTGAATTACTGGACTATATATCAGAAATTTAGAATTCTGTAGCTCAATATTTGTTCTTTCTTCACAATGTATAGTCTAATCTTTTCTTGGTAAGTCGAAAACTTTATTAACATCCAAGATACAAAACTAGCATAAAATAACAAGTTCAACCCAATGAAATAACGCTTGTTACAAGTCACATTCGAACACCGGAAGCGAGCATGTCATGAGAGCATAAGTTGAAATTATCTTCTTTAAACCTCACAATTCTCATAATATTTTGTTCATTTTATGTCCAATCTAACCCAACTCAACCCGCCGCACATGAGCCGTGATGATATGCCGGATTAACAGAAGCTGAATTAATCTTTTTATACTTCACAAATCATGCCAACAGTATCCGTTCTGCGTTTATATGAAACTACAAAGATGAGGATAATGGTGTGGGACTTGTGAGTGTCGTGCTCTTCCGCAAAGGGATTAAATTAATTCATTTTCAGAGCAAACTTTTGAACCAACTAATAAAGGATTTGTAAACTCTTCTGTGTATCTGAAAATTTCTGAAAGGGTGATTAAAAGTTTTAAAATAAATAAATACATAATACGAACAAAGATTTCATTAAAGAAACCATCGTAGGTATATCAAGATAAAAATACATTCAATATTAGGCCGACTCAGTCCCAAAGAACTGTCGGCCATAGTAAAAGTAGTAATTTATTTGTACTTTGAGTAGTAATGTTTATAATAACTGCTTGCCTGGTTCATAGCTAATGCAATACCATATATTGTTGTTTTATTATGTACAGAAACCAGTATTAAACACATCCTTTCTTATAAATTCCCTTCTATAATTAGTATATATGCTTTCATTTCCACAGGCCAATTTGACAACTCGAAGTGGACATAGAGGTATGTTCTTGATGAGAAATCCCTGGCCTTTTGGATTCATTGGCTAGCAAATTCATTTGTTCAGCCACTTGAAAACTGGCGTCTGCATTGGAATAGTTGTTTCCCTTGGATGCCTCCTCATGGCTAAGCTGAGAGGCAACGAATTTGTCAAGAACTCGCCAGTCGGTCACCTGGTCCACCGCCTGCTCGCCGTTGTAAACCGAGTTCAGATTTTGCTGATGCACCACCGGGTTCATGTGCTCTTCCTGTGTGAGAGTCGACAACTGCAAAGCGCTTCCGTAAGGAACAACCGAGTTGCAGCAGCTTACACTCGCAGCGGATTGTGGAACTCTGGGACTTTCCAAGTGAGGGAGTTGAAGGAAAGCGTCATGAGGCAAACTGTGTTGCAGTTCAAGCTCTTGCTTGCAGGGATAATGGTGATGGTATGGTGATGGCGGTGATGCATATGGCTGTGGAATTCGCCTTGGGGATTCAAGTTCCTGCATGAACGAGACTTGCTCGTCGTACCAATACGAAGATTCATATTCACTCACTTTTTGCACCGTTGTCATTGGCTTCTTGAATACCCTGCAAACCGCCCATCCTTCTTCCTGGTGGAATAACAAAGACAACAAATTGTAATACAACTTTTTCTTCCAATGTAGTTATATTATATACATAGATATACTTACGTGAGGAGAACCATTTTCATTAGTTTCGAGTCGATACTCGTGTATGATCCAATCGGATTTTTGTCCACTGGGTGCTCGTCCTTTGTAGAAGACTAGGGTTTTTCTCATACCAATAAGGCAATGTCTGCAGTAAATAGCCTTATCTCTTCCCGTAGCTTTCCAAAACCCTGCTTTTGTTGCTCTATTAGTGCGAGTACCTGTTGGATATTTCTTATCTTTGTGGCTAAAGAAGTACCATTCGTTTTGTTCCTCAGTTCCGATTCTGCACAATTCTTATGATCCCCACAAAACAAAACATAATCAAATAATCTAAACATTTGTAAATCCAAGAAGAATAAAACATGAGGATTTTTATTGCATTTTTTGCTACCTTGCAGATCCCATGGTTCAATTTTATAAAGATCAACATCTTTGATGACATCCAGATCTATCCTTTTTGAAGCAACTTTTTTTCTGAGATAATAGTCAACCAGTTCTTCATCCGTGGGATGAAACCTAAAGCCTGGAGGAACGTTTGAAAAGGTATTCATATTCTTCCAAAGAAAGATCAATCAAAACCTGCATTAAAATGTCGCATTATCAGCAAGAAAAGTAATTCATGTTATTCCAAACAAGAGGGTGGGGTTTCCCAGCAGATAGCAAGGAAATAACAGCAAAAGGAATTCATTAATTATATCTAATTATGAGTGGTTAACTTGGATGTACTTGTAAGGCAAGTTTTCTCGAGATGGAAAGTGTTATCATTTCTGATACTTAACCTTTCTATTAACATCCCTCCATACGTCTAAAAGTTGGCTACGAGATCTTCACTATGCTAACACCAAACAACAATTCTCAATGGAAAAGAAAAATAAAACAGTTAAATACATCATATTGTATCTTTCATAGTTTCATAATTTCATTGCTTAACGTATACCAAAAGCATCCCTCACTTCAATCTTTGTGACCTTTGGGAAATGATCACCCGTGAAAGGAAGAAGAAACAAAAAAACAAAAAACAAAGAAATAAAAAAACAAGGAAGAGAAGCTCACGGTACCGGCAAGCTTCATAATTCTAACCAACTGAAACTGGTTAATCCTCAGAGATCTGACCGAAAACCAGACTCATCATGTGTTTGCACCAAATCAACTTAAGGCCTAGAAACTTTGAGCTAACTTTTTGTTCACTCTCTCTTTTTAAACTTTAATTGAAGCAGACAAGCAACGCAGAAAAGAAAGCAGGAGAGATCATGTAAGAAGATTAAGGTGGTTTTAAAGAAAGAAAAGTCGTAACCCTCGGGAACTGAACTGAAACCCCACGGCCCCCCTAACACTTTTGTGGACTCAAGAACTTGTCCACTAGTTGTCGGGAAGGGGCAGAGGGAGATCACAAGGAAAAAGAAAATAAAGGGAAATGAAGAATGGGAAAAGAGGAGGAGATGGGGTTAAATAAGAAATACACATGCCCTAAAATGCTATCCCTCTCATATATTCTCTTTCCTATATTAAGCTTAATTACTGCAAAAGTCTTGCGGGAAAGAAGGGAGGCGGATAATGGTTCAAGGAAGATCGAGAGCGAGAGTCCTTGACAAAGATATATGTAATATTACAATTACAAAACAAAGAGAAAGAGGAGTCTGCAAGCTTCAATGCCATACCCAACAGCTACTGATATATTTTATCATTCTATTTATAATAATTTATTAACTTTTTAAAAATATATTATGTGATTATGTTATCACTTCACAATTTAAAAGGTTCTTATTTCTTTTCAAAAATTCTCAAATTAAAAAAAATTATATATATATTTTTAAAAATATTTAATACAAAATGGTGGAAATATAGTTTTTAAAATGAAGTGATATCTGAAGAAACAATTATTCATATTTAACTATCAAAATTAGTCAAATAGATTAATTGATTTAATTCAACATTTAAGACTTTAATTAAATAAAAAAATCAAATATTTTATTGATTTTGTTAAAAAAAATTAAAAGATTAAAAGATTCTTAAATTATTATTTTATTTTGCCAATGTCTTGATACAACTAATAAAAATTAAGGTTTCAAATCTGTAAGACGAAGCCCTATTGTTCCAAGCATTAATGTAGGTTGCATGCTTCTCAACCCAATTAACGCTTTCTTTACGACGACCATCAAATCTGTGCAGGTCGTCATGCGTCTCAACCCAATTCACTGGACGACGACCATCTAAGTTTTGGAGGAGGTCATGATCCCATGGACTCCGCGGAATAGGTTGGTGGAAGTGGAATTGCCTCAGCACTCTATCCCCAAATTGGATCTCAACAAAAGCAAAATTGATCAATGGTGTAACAGCACACCAAAATTGAAACCCATCTAAAATATCGTGCGGTATCAACGCAAATAATTCTTCATTCATGTATGGTCTCCAATTAAACTGTAAAATTACAAAAACAATAAAATTTATTTAAATCAAATAATATAGTTAATTTAAATAATAATTAAAAAATACAAATTATGCATACCTCCTTTTTGGCCTTAATGTCGATCTTCAACCTGAACTCTTTAATGTTGTTGTGCACCAACCCTGTGCCTTCAATTTTATGCCTCCATCTGTATATCAATCAAAACAAAAATAGAGACATTTTGTTCAATAATTTTAATCAAAATAAATATTTTTTAATTAATATTTATATTAAAATAGAGGATTCATATTACCTTCCGGCAAGTGGAAAGTCAACGCAGTCCGACTAATCGGTGTCAAAAAACGGAAGTCTATGCCAAGCCCATGATTGTAGCAGCAACAGACATCCACCGATTTCTACTGTATTATTATCATTCACGACTAATGACGCCTTGCACATCTCACGATACAAGAACGCCAATATCGCCGAACCCCAGCTATATTGCCTACAATTCTCAAAATTTGTTAAAAAAAGAAGATACTGAGTGTGAACATAACTACCGGATTTATCAGGCATCAAAATTCCCCCAATCAATTGTAATATATATGCTCGTGTTGCATATATAATTTCGTGCTCCGTACTATTTGATTGAAGTTGAAATTCATTCTTCAACCATGACAACCTCACCCGCCACCCTTTACACTCTGGTGGTACGGGCGCTTTCCCAAGAAACAAGTTGCAAAGTTGTTCCACCTTATTAAACTCATGTGACATTACCACCGGCATCCCATTAGTTTGAACCCCGAGTTGCATTGCCACATCCTCCAAAGTTATCGTGCATTCGCCACACGGCAAATGAAACGTGTGCGTTTCTGGTCTCCAACGTTCAATCAACGCACTGATCAAACCTGGGACCAACTTGTAATCTCGCACAAATGTTATATACCAAAATTCAGCCTCTTGCAAATTTTCTTCTATTAGTGGGTGTGGCTTGGGCACTTTATGTAGTCGAAGACGAAGGACTTGCTGCTCGTCCTCCTACAATTAAATATTTCAAAAAAATTATCACAATCATAAAATAATATTCAAATATTTATTAATTATAATTCATTAAACAAATATTTTATTCACCATTATTCCCAAATGACTTGAAATATGTTCATTGTCAAGCCTCAACAGTGGAATTTGGTCAGCCATTAGAATGAATCTGTAAAAAAAATTAAACAACAATATTTAAAAAATCATTTAATATAATCTAATATAAACTAACTAACTAATTTACAACACTAAACTTTAATATAATAACTTATAATATAATAAACTAATAAACTAACAAACTAAACTTTTTAAAATATAAGTTAAACGTAAACGCTAAACCCTTAAACAACTAATAAAATATTCTTTTATATAACTAAAACTAACTAATAAACTATTTTTCATTATAATATACTACTAATAAACTTACTAACTAATTTTTATATAATATAAATTCAACAAACAATATAACTTAACTATTTAACTAACACAAACTAATTAAATAATTTTTTTTATATAACTAACTATTAACAAAACAAACTAATTAATTATTTTTTAACTATAAACTATCAAATATACTATTAAATAATTTTTAATTTATGTATACTATAACTTAAACTAACAATCATATAACCCTAAACTAACAAACTAATTAAATGCTTTTTGTTTTACCCTAAACCCTAAACTAACAAATTAAACATTTATAATAATAAACTAATTTAAATATAAAAAAATTTACCTTATCTCCCTTTCTTCTTCTTACTTTCCTTTCTCCCTTTCTTTCTTTCCTTTCTCCCTTTCTTTCTTTCTCGGCTGCAATCTCTTCCCTTCTTCTGCAATCTTCTCCCTTTCTTTCTTTCTTTATAACCGGCTGCCTCAATTATTTCACCAATAATTGTACAATTGCAGCTATGATATCATCAGCTGATTTCACGCAGCAATGGTTCAATTATTGTACCAATAATCAAATGGTTCACATGCATGCATTGGCTCAAATGGTTCACATGCATGCATCGGGAGCTGTAGGCATGCAGCGGGGAGCACGTGAAGGAATCTATGTGGCTGTGCTTGTGCATGGATGATGGGAATGGCGCCGAGACTACATGGCGACCTACAAGGTCGCCGAGACTACATGGCGACCTACAAGGTCGCCAGGACTACATGGCGACCTACAAGGTCGCCAGGACTACATGGCGACCTACAAGGTCGCCTAGGCTGCATGGCGACCTCTTTATTCCTGCATGCTCCCCATTGGCTCGTATGGCTCGTATATGGCTCGTTGCATGCTCCCCATTGGCTCTCTATTCCTGCATGCTCCCCATTGGCTCGTATGGCTCGTATATGGCTCGTTGCATGCTCCTCATTGGCTCGTATGGCTCGTATATGGCTCGTATGTCACCCTCGTATGTCACCCCGTATGTCGCCTGGATTGCATGGCGTCCTCCAAGGTCGCCTGGATTGCATGGCGTCCTATGGCGATCACTGTTGAACTCACCCCATTCCAACAATTAATCTGGGATGTGCACCATATCGTGAAAAAAAAAATTCGAGAACATTATCTCGTGAATTCACCCGGCGACACCTCTCCAAATTAAAATTTTCAAATAATATTGAAAATTCTTTTAAAATTATTAAATTGACTCGCCTAAGCTCCCAAGTCCACGTCAATAAGATGTGATAAAAGTAAAAGATAAAAGTGGGTATCATTACATACATGATTGATTTTTTTTCTGTCAGGTAGAGATAATTATCTCTTAAGATAATATACGTTTAAAAGATTTTTAATTTTTTAATAATTAATATTTATATATCCCTTTAAACTTCGTGTTCGAATCTAAGATTTTAAAAAATAATAATCATACTTTTAATCATTAAATTCACTTGGTTTATGTTTGTATACATGATTGATACAATAAAAAAAAGGATGAATTATATATATTTTCTTTAACAATTCTTCAACATATAAAAAAGTTGATAAGAAGAAATTGGGTAGTAAATTTTAAGCACATACTAAGGGAGGCCAATCGCGTTGCTGATTGTGTCGCCAAACAAATATGGAAACACCAAGAAGATACAACTTTTCTGCAAAATTACTCAAAGAAAGCCGAGGAGTTGTTATTAACTGATATAATGGGCAGCTAAGCGGCCCATTCACCTGTATTCAACAAAAAAAAAGATGAATTATATATATATATTTCTTTATCAATACAATTTATTTGATTTAAAATTTAAATTTGAATTAATCAAAATTTGTTAAAAAGATATTTCTAATCTTGTTTTTCTTAATCAAAATTTGAATAAGAATATTCTATTCAAATTATTTAAGGTTTTGATATGTCGTTAGCCATAAATTTTATTTTAAAAAAAAACACTCATTTGGCATGTTAAAGCCATCTCATTTATTTCATTTCATTTGCCATGTTCTATAAATAGTGGAGAGTGGAGCCCACAACACAGAATTTATATATCGGGATCTCAGGGACGTGGCGGCTAATGGTCTGGCGTGGACAAGCCCGCAATCATTAGGCTCACCGTTGTGTATTGCAGGCTGCTTCTTTCAAGTGGGCCCTACCCGTTTTCCATCTGATCTGGACCCCACTTTTACCGTTATCTTCGCACTCTTATTTATTGATTATCATTAGCGCTGGTGGTTTCTATAAATAAAAATTAATTTATATATAGACTTAAGTTTTTGTCCAACTATGCTTTATTAGGTGTAATTTTAATGGTAATCTTCAACTATGTTAAATGCTTGCATCTCCTTTGAAAAACTAAAGAGGTCCATTTATATTATGATACAAAATAATTACCATAAACAATAGAAAAATATAAAAGTGCAGTTTAGCCTTTGTCTGGGGTTGAGGGATGCCATTGAAATTTAGCAACACTTGTTTATTTACTTTTTTGTTGGAACAAAGTATACATAGGATAGAAGTAAAGCAAAAGTATGAAACGTTATCCAAGTGTTGTCTTGGCCCCACCGTTGTTTGCTTGTCATTGTGCCATTCGACCCTAAAACGCTTTACATATATCATGAACCATAAGATTGGCTGAATTTTTAGAATAATGAACTCAAAAAAAATCATTACTCGAATAATGTAGTGTAAAAATTATTTCACGAGATAGGGCGAATGCTACAGGAATTCCTAAGATGCGCTGCCGTCCTGGCATTCCAAGTCAAGACGCATTGTCCTCCAAGGGGGAGATGCATGGCAAGGTTGCCACCGTCTCATGTGCGCTGGTCCATTCACGTGGTCAGAAAAATCTCACGTGTCTCCTTCTCGCGTGGCCTGCAAAGTCGCATGGCATGCCTCATGTACGTGCAATAGGTAGCTGACATTCAAATGATAAAAGTTTAACCCATACCCCTATGCTATCCTAACACATACCCTGTAATAACAAGTTGAACATTAAAGAAATTCATTTCAACTATATATACGTAAAAATGAAATTGGGGCAATTGCAATTCAGAAAATTGATAGAGGGAGTAGAAACAATTGCATAGAAGATTAACAGAGGGAGAATTTCAAAACAATTTGTGTGCTTTTCTTTCGATATTCTAATTTGAGTATGCATTATATGGTAAATTGATTTAAATTCATGCTATTTTGTGTGAAATTAGTGTAATAAATTTGTTTTTTTTTTGTTTTTTGCAGAACAAAGGTGAATTAAGTTTGAAGAAATTTTATTTGAGGTCTTTTACTATTGATTATTATGTTAATATTATTTTTATAAATATTTGTTATTTTTACGATTATTGTTATGTTAATATAATTTTTGTATTGTATAATATCAATTTTACGATCTATGATCATAATGTACTATAATTTTTTCATTCTAAATACAAATTTTGAATTTGTAGAGAAAATGAAAAACAAGTTTTTCATGTTTGTCCGTTATAATGGACATATTATGGAAAATGAGGTCGGAGTTATTTTTCAGTATGAAAAATCTATAAATACGATGTTCAAAAGGGACATCGCATTTGTAGAAATGAAACATAGGATAAAAAGGCAAATTCGAGCTATAGTTGGTGGTTTGAAGTACAGGTTCATGGTATGTCCTAATCCAGTTAGATATGTTGCAGTACCAGTTGAAGAAGAAGATGATATTGTGTTGAACCATGTTTTATAATATTTTGATATAACAAATTAATGCAAAATGTTTTTGGGCTTGATTGAATTTGTTCAAAGTTTTCAAAAATAATTCAAAATCCATTAAACTAGAATTTGAGCACAAAATAGTTTTTCTGAGTACGTAGTACCAATATTTTTCTTACAGTATCGATACTGCATGAACAATACCGATAATATTCACGTGGTACCAGTACCAAAGGTAAGAGAAGTATCGATAATCTCTAGGTAGTATCGATACTACAATTTATTTTCCAAATAACTAAAATCCAGAATGCAAAATAGGCATTGATACTCAAATGAGTATTGATACTACTTTATATAGTAGTATCGATACCGTGAAGCATAGTATTGATACTGGTCAAGCCCAACAGTCTTTAACAGCTAGTTTATTTAAATATTACAAAGGTAGTATTGATACTCATTAAAGGAGTATTGATACTCCATGTCTTGGGCAATTTTATTGTAGAAAATTAATCCCCAACAGCTTCAAAACATCCACAACAACTAAAAATAGTCACAAACTCATTCCAACATATAAAAACAAGTTGATGACACTTGAAAAAGGGTTAGAACACCTATCCAAGTATTCAAACACAAGAGAATAACTTTTCATTATTATTTTCCTTTTTCTTGTAAATATAAGTGTTTTAGTGTGCTTAATCTTGTAAACACCCTACCTTTTAGAGGTTTTCTTGTTTACTTCTTTTATACCTTTGTATAACGGTATTGGTTCTAGCTTAGCCTGTGAAAATCTAGGGAGTTGTAAAGGTTATCTCTTAATCATGTAAAAAGAAAGAACAAATTAGTGAATTTGTTAGAAAATCCTTAGTGATGAGCTAAGGTAGTGGATGTAGACTTGGTTGAGAAGTTGAACCACTATAAATCCTTGTGCAAATTTTCCTATCCTTTATACTCCTTACTCCTGAAACTCAAAAGCCAATTCACCCCCTCTTGGTAAATTATTTGGTTGATCGATTGAGCTTCATAAAAATCCCAACATATTGGAACCATAATTGGATTACATGGGTCAACAAATATTTCAGTTATTGAGTTATTTGTTGATTTGCGTAAGATATCTGATGTTCCTGGGTCATCAAGAAATATGGCTGGAGATTCATCTCAAATGGCTTTCGGAAGTGAGATTGATGACCCGACATACAGATTAATAAACAATTTTATGGCGCTATTGGAAAGTGGAAATGAAGTTGGTGGAACATCCGCAACAACAGAGTACGAGGAGAGAAACATATATAACTCGGAATTGAATGTTGATGTTGATGTTGAAAATCGATGGGGAGAAATACATGATGATTCCAGCGAATATGAAGAAACTGAGGAACAGATTTTGGCCGACGATGATAATTTTGGTTGTGGTTGTGCACCTAACCTAGCCACTGATAAAGTTCTGACACCGTATCAACCTACCCCTCACATGTACGAGATAGACTATGATGCGATGAGGGCACCAGAATTCCCTGACATGCCAAATATACCTCCATACCACATGGTTGAATCATTCAAAAATTCTGGTGAATTTTTGGTTGGGATGCAATTTAGAGAAAATATGAAGTTACACTGACGATTAAAGAGTATTGCATTAAAGGCCATGTTGATGTCCATGTTGCAGAGTCCAACCAAAAAACCATATATGCGAAATGTGTTAAATACGACCCAAAGTGCAAGTGGAAGATCAGAGTCCAAAATTCAGAGGCAAGATATGCTTGGGTCATCACAAGGTACAATGGTCCTCACATATGTTTGCGAAACTCAATCGAACAAGGCCACTGACTATTGGACTCCGATGTAATATGCGACTACGTGAAAGTGTTGTTTGAGAAGAATCCAAGGATCCCTTGTTCTAGTTGCATCTATTCAAAGCTAATTTGTATAACAACTAAAATAACACAAGGTTTGGAATGCAAAAATGAAGGTAATGAAGTTGACATATGCAGATTGGGATACATAGTACAATGAGCTACCACATTTATTACAAGCAATGAAGCGATTTATCCCAGGAACTTTAGTGAAGTCTCAAACCATACCTGCATATGACAAATAATGTTAACTTATTATAGGGAAAAAATATTTTATAGACTCTTTTGGACATTCAAGTCATGCATAGAATGATTAACATTTTGCAAACATATGATCTAAATAGATGGTACTTGATTGTATTGTTAATATAACCATATATTGATAGTGGCAGTTGCGCAAGATAGAGTTCAGGAGGAGAGACGCATTGCCGTATAATTCGTAACATATGGTTTTTAATGATGTAATCAGATAGTGAATTAGAAAAGTGATTATTTATTTATATATATTTTTAGAAAGTGTAGAAAAGTGCCATTTAATTGAACGTATTAGTGACAAGAGCAAACAAGGTAACCAACCAATGAGAGCTAATGACAACTAAAAGGAAAAAAGAAAAATAGTTCTGAAGCCCGTTTTTTCTGTAATGCAACATATGACATTTTCGAATGTATAAGGAATATTAGCGGTACGACATGATTTGTTAATAAAATTATTTTGATTTTGTTGGTTTGAAAATGATTTGCGTTAGTAACGAGGGAAGGAAAAGTGGGGTGAGCTGAATCTCAAGTAATGGTGGGGTCTGAGGTTAATCATTGTTGATGTCAACCCATTATTGTTTCGGTTCCCCACGTTTAACAAGCGGAAAAAGGCCTTTTTTGCTAACAATTTGCTCACCATTCACTTTGGCTACCTATCTTTTACGTGGGCAGCTACTCAAATCTGAATCTTCTAATATATAATATCTTTTTTATCAGATTATTTAATGAATTCAAAACTAAATTTATCACTATTATTATATTTGATTGAACAAATTAATAAATTTTATCCAAATTAATGAACAATAACAATTAAATGTTATATTTTGAATTTTCCGTTTATTTGATAAAGTTATTATTGTAACATGCAAGAATGCCTAGTTGATAATATTATTATTATAACATATAAAAAATATAAATTTAAATGTATTTAAGCACACAATATATTTCGACTTATGGGTGGGGTTATTGTTAAATAATTTTAGTATTATATGTATATATTTATATATAAACAACATTTTTTTCTAATGGTTTTGTCTGTTTTTATGAACTTATTAATATTTTTGTATATAAAAGTGGGGGACTGAACGACATCAAAAAGAGTCAATTAAAATATATTATTCTAATAATATTAGTGACAGGCCTTTCTGGTAATATAATTTTCCTTGTAATTAATGTGGAAAGTGGAACCTTGAGCAGCCTTTATCAAATCTAAATCATCAAATCCCATTAATTTTATATAAAGTTTGCCTATATTATTTTCTTATAATTCAAGCAATATTTTGCTTAGGAGGAGGAACACGGTGTTGGATGCTAATGGAAAATTTGCTTAAAATATTTTGTAGCAATAATTACCATTTCCACAAGGAACAGCATTCATACGTAGAGCACAAGGTACGTGTGTGTATATATTCATACGTAGAACACAAGCTAGAAATATATATATACATATATACACGCATAGAGCACCATGTATGCATAGATATATGTAGTTCATATATTGAATTATATAAATTTATGTCGACACCATTTTTCGTCCGGGCAGGGAAAGACCAATACCGACTTGGAAATTTTTCTTTGAAAAGAATTTTGAAATGTGAGGAGTCGTCACTAATCATTTAAAGTGCGATTGGGACATCGTAAAAACCATGTGATTTTAATAAAACATTTTATTTTTATTTACTGCAGTTGTGTGGAGCAGCTGGGTAGTGGTGGCGTGTGTGAAATCCCTTTGGCATTGGGGCAGAAAACGGCGAGTGATGATTGGGGTATTGGGGGCGACTATCCTAGAGTTAGATTTAGGTTAGGGTTGGGCTTGGTTTGAGCCCCGGGTCAAGTCTTGATTTGAGCTTTGTGTTTGGGTTTATTTCGAGCTCCAGTTGGGGTCTGTTTGGGTTTCAGGTCTGGGTTTAGTTTGGGTTTAAATTTAGGGTTGGTTTAGGTTTCAAGTTGAGTTCTATTTGGGGTTGGTTTAGGTTTCAAGTTGAGTTCTATTTGGGGTTGGTTGGGTTGGACTTGAGGTCCGTTTGATTGTTGTAAATGGGGTATGTAGGAAAAATGACTATTACAATTTATTATTTTCCGCATTATATATTTGACCAAAATTCATGTAAAACATTAATATTTATCACTTAATTAAACACCCATCAACATATGTGAACATTCAGTCTTCATGTTCAAAACAAAAGAAATCACATCCAGAGACAGGCGTAGGATATAATATCAAAGAATGAACTTATAAAATTTTTGAAAGATGAACATATATTATTAATATAATATATTAAAAAATAAATTATATAAAAATTTAAAATTAAAAAAATGGTTAAACAACTACTCTTTTAATCCATCCCTGATCAACATCTGCCTTAATTAAGTTGCCATTGACGTAGCAACCCAAACAAAAAGCCAGAAAAATGGTTCAACAGCTATCTGGCTCACTATGCCAGTTCATGTTCATTCTACAAATATCAACAACTGGGTCATTTATGGGTTTCAAATGCTAATGATTTTGGGGCAGAAGTAAACGACGTTGGGCCATTCTGATCGGTTCGCCTCTACTACTGTATCATCTTTATTATGCAATAAATCAAAATTTTAAAATAATTTAATTGATTATAAAATAATATATGTTTATGATTTTTCCCTTAATCATTATAACGTACACATACACTGCATATGTAATTGCTCGAATTAAAAATCTCAAGAAAAAATAACATTTACGAAGCTAATTGATGTGATCACAATAAATTAATATTAAAATAAGTTAGTTGACTTGATCAAATTCTTTTACTTATTGTAGCTGCGGGTGGACCGCCAACAAGTACGTTGTACCTGCAACTACCCGAACAGATGAAACAAAATTATAAGCTACAAGGGCTTAGTTAGGTTCTGAGGTATAGAAGTAGGATAATTACGTTTTACCAACCATTAGCAAATGGTGATCCCTCCAAGGTCTAAGCCTTGCAATAATCGTCATCGGCTTGGAAATTTACTAAATTTCGCAAACGCAATAGTGGTTGTCCACTTGTGTATGCAATTTCTGCAAGTAAATTTGTCGCCTTTAAGTAGATTAATGTAATAAAGCAGACAAAATTAGTGTATGATCCATGTTTCGTACAATAAATTAGATATACACAAAAAAATTGATTACTGTCTCGTCACCATTGACGCAGATTTTTTCCCTAGTTTTATTATATTCATGCTATTTTTTTATTTTATAATTGTGAGTTAGGTAGATTTAAACCTTGGAAAAATTGTAAGAAAGAATAAATATTAGGTAGCATTTATATGTTTATATAATTAAAGATGAATAATTAAGTAGAATCTAATAATTAAAAAAAAGTCTTAATCCTCTATACTAATTGAAAGAACGTAATTGAAAAATTGAAAAACATAACTAAGGAGCATACTTATATAATTATATCAAAATTCACATATCCTCTGAAAGAACGTAATTAAAACTGACTTAAATTAATTTTAAATTAAACTTATAAATATCCCAATCGGACACACTTCTAGGTAATTCTGTCTCTTTTCAGCACTAAATGAAAATTTGGCTGTAAGCTGTCATTGCCATGAGTGAATTGTTTGTACCAGAAAATGACACTACAGAGCTGCAGAACAAAGGCCTGATTTCACGCCTCATGTCTTTCTGGTTTATTTGTCTTTTCCTTGTTTTGGTAGGCACAATTTTGGCACTTTTATTTGGATTACCATTTTTGTTTTTGTGTTTATCCGTAGAAAACAGTGAAAGGTTCTCCATCTAAACTAAGCTAGCAATGGTTCAACAGAAACTAAATATGAAAGAATTATGGAATAACGGCTGTGCATAGGGATGTAAACGAACCGAATCGAATTTGAGTATTTTTTAGTTTGATTCGACATAAAAACTTTAAAATAAAGCTCAATCGGTTTAAAAACTAGTGAGTTTAAAATTTTCAAACTCGACTAGAATTCGAAACCATGAATTGAAACTCGAAAAAACTTTAAATAAAAAAATCTTAAACTAAACTCAGTTGAAGCTCAACTGGAACTCAAACCTTAAGTATATGAAAAAATGATTGTTCATTCGGTTAACTCGGTCACCGACAGAACCGAACTCCCATTAACCGAACTAACCAAACTTTTTTTCTTTAACCGTTAACCGTACCAAACTTTTTTTTAATATTAACCGAATTGATCAAAGTTCGGATATTAACAAAAAAATTTATATAATTTTTTTAGTTAGGTTAATTTGAATTTAATAAAAGTATTTTTTATTTGAGTTAAAATTTAATTAGGTTTTGATAATTTAATGAGTTTAGTATCGCTAAAAAATAATTAAGTCTTAATTCTCAATATATTTGAGCTTAACATATGTATTTAATATATATAACATATATAATATTTAATATTATCGGTTAATTCGGGGTAATTAATTGTTCATCGACAGAATTAATTCGGCGACCGACTGAATTAACTAAACTAATATGGTTCGGTAAGTTAATTTGGTTAAACTCAAAAAATGAACACCTCTATATGAAATCTAAACTATATTTTTTTTATAAAAAAAAGTCAACACATGAAAGTTAATATTATTACTAGTTTATTTTTTTTAAATTAATATATTATTTTTTTTTAAGTTGCTCGTGAGCTTTTTGAGTAGAGTATCAAGTAACTCGTTTTGGCTCATTAAAAACTCGAGTCGAGTCTTTTTAAGTAGAGTATTTATATTATTGCTCGTGAGCTTTTCAAGTAGATTATCAAGTAACTCGTTTTGACTCATTAAAAACTCGAGTAGAGTCCTTTTAAGTAGAGTATCTATTGAGTTTTGATCAAGTCGATCTCAAGTAGCTCACGATCTATCTTTTCTCATTTGCAGTTGGGCAATTTAGACCCAAACTAGAGACAATGACATATTTACAATATCCTATGATCGGATGACCATATTATACCTTTTAATAGTTAAAAGACTCAATAAAACAATACTTTATAAT